TGGAATCAGTAACTCCTGTGATCTGCCTGAGTTCTGCACTGGCAACAGCCCCACTGCCCCTCCAACGTCTACCTGCACGACGGCCACGCCTGCCACAATGTGGACGGCTACTGCTACAACGGCAATCTGCCGACTCATGAGCAGCAAGTGTATCACACTGTGGGGGCCAAGGTACATTTTGACACTGATACTGTCTGTTAATTGTTCAGTAATGGTCGCCAGCTTTTTCATGTGTTTCACTGTGTGTCGTAGGGCCAAGCCGGCTCCGGGCAATCTTGCTTTGAAAGGGTGAACTCAGCAGGAGACCTTATGCAACTGCGGCAAGGACTCCAAAGGCTCCTTTGCCAAATGTGAAGCACGGTAAGACCTGATGTTGCCATAGAAACAGTGATTGCATTAAATTGTGTGCCATTTGTGGAATACAGTGAAGGTATATACTGTTGGTTACTCTGTAAAGAGACGTTTTTCATTTCTACGACTGGATTGTGTGTTATTGACTCTAGTGCTGAAACAATCAGCTGATTCATCGATGAGTTGTTTAAGTAATAAAAAAGCAAAAAATGGTTCAGCTTCTGAAGTGAAATGTGAAGAAATGTGCTGTGTTTCTCTGTTTTATATCATTGTAACCCTCACATCTTTTGGCTAATTGACTGTTGCATGGATAGAATAAGCAATTTAAAAGACCTCACATTGGGCTCTGGCAACTCGGAAGATGGCTTTCTTCACAGTTTTTTTGACATTTTTATAGACTAAGCTATTAATCAAAAAATAAACTGGCACATTAAACAATGGAAATGATCATTAGTTGCAGCCCTGATTGCGGGATACAGAGCAATGCAGCACGTTACAGAATCTCCCAGGTTGTGGTGTGAGAACAGCACAAACAAGCTCCCTGTTCTGCAGTTTCTCTAATTGGCCAGCTAGAGTGAGAGCAGAAATAATTGCATATGTACACATTTGGGAAAAAACTGTGACATGTATTTAAATTATCACATTGTTATTCTCCCTGTTGTTCATTCTGTTTACAGAGATGCTAAATGTGGCAAAATCCAGTGTCAAGGAGGAGCTAACCGCCGGTAATTGGCACCCAATGCTGTTTCCATATGTAGACCATAGAGACAAACATACCCCTGCAGGAAGGGGGAAGGATACTGTGCCGCGGCACACACGTCTACTTGGGTGATGACATGCCCGACCCCGGCCTGGTCCTGACGGGCACCAAGTGTGGAGATGGAATGGTGAGAGCTGAGGCCAGAGACGGTTAAATACATCCAGTGTACACATACACACACACACACAGACACACACACACACACACACACACACACACAGACACACACACACATGCAGCACACACAGACACACACACACATGCAGCACACACACACACACACACACACACGCACACACACACACACACACACACACACACAGACACACACACACATGCAGCACACAGATCAGTCCAGCGAGCAGCTGACTCATTAGCGGTGATTGACAGTAACTAATGTGTACTCAAGTACTGTACAGTTTTGAGGTGCTTTTCTGATGTATGTCTCCTTTGTGCCGGCCTAGACATCGATTGTACTACAGGTGAAAGAGAATTACTGTACTTTTTACTTTAATTAATTTGTTATTTTTGTAGATTAAGATTTTACATAGAAAACATATGATCAGTTGACAGTTTGTAAGATTTGTTGCAGTAAGTAATTGAAACTGAACCAGCTAGAACATTAAGAGCTTCTTACACATTAAGGCATTAGTAATACTGTACATAAATGAATACCTTAATATGTCAGTAACACATAAAGGATAAAAATGTGACTCTATCCTTTAAATAGTGTCATTAATCAACAGATCAAAGCACCAACCCTACGATTAATAGATGACCTGCTATTTCACCTGAGCTACAGGCAGGTGCTGCACAGTTACAAATGAGGGACTCTGAGTACTCTACCAAAGAGGAACAGAAAAGAATATATCTGATTAAATATGTAATTCAAAGACGAGCACGAGTACAGAAGCCTTGAAAGACAAGTTACATTTTTTTGCTATATCATTTTTCTAAGTTTGTGTTTTCTTCATCTGTATAAACAACCCCCAAGAGACAAATGAAGCAGTTTCTTTCTTTCCTTCTTCTTTTTCACAGATGAAAAAAAAACAAAACAAAAAACTGATCCTGGCAAAAAAAAAAACTAAAATTCTCACCTGTCTTTCAGGGCTTCCGTACAAGAGTGTTTTACAAAGGAAGAATAAAGATGTTATTCTACATGATAAGTTCTTTTACTTGTAGTACTTCAAGTAACAATTTTGAATGTAGGACTGTAATTTGCATTCATTTTTTTCATTGCAGTATTGATACTTTTACTTGAGTGAGGGATTTCGGCTCATGGTGTTAGCGATCTGTAAGCCACTGTTAAAACACAACAGAGACGTGCTGCCCGGATGCCTGGAAGCAAGAGTGGAAAAAGTGATGTGCAGTGACTAAGACGTTTCAGGAGGTTCTTCAGGGTGTGTCCTCTTGTCATTTCAGACTCGCACAGCCTCGGACACTTAATTGACTCACCATTATTCAGTCTATTTGGCATCTTCCGGTGGTCATCAATTCAGCCGTTGGTCATTTCAATGATACAGTTACTCCATTTAGTCTAATTTACTTCTCTATGTGCCTCCACCCTTAAAAAAGATCCAGCCTCCGCCCTCATCTGTCAAGGGCTCTGGCATCACTCTGTGCCCACTGCTGCCAAGCTCATCTTCACATACAGCCTGGATATATTTGGGTGTGGTGCCTTTAAGGACCTGTGTAATAACTTTTAAAAATCAGCTTAAAAAAAAATTCTTGAAAAACATAATTATATTTCACTCTACACAGTTTTATAGCTGAAGTGGTTTGTCAGTGGCAAATTAGAAGAAATGGTGAGCTGGATCTGCTGTTCTTTTCTCTTGAAAGATTAAAGGATTGAGAATATTACTGAAATGCTCTTTGAGCTCAAACTGTCAATTTTTAATGTCTTTGTCTGCTTCAGATGTGTCTGAACCGTCAGTGCCAGAACGTCAGCGTTTTCGGTGTGCACGAGTGCTCAGCCAAGTGCAGCGATCGAGGGGTGAGTGCAGCATCGTTCATCCTGTTTTAGTGTCGTGCAGAACAAACGTGACAGGTGTCTATCTCAAACCACTCCCCGCCCAGTTTAGTTTACTTAATATCCCATTCCTCCTTCACACAGGAGCTTGTTTTGGCTGTAATATGTTCGAAACGCCCAGTATACGGTGGGTAGGGAGCCATTACAATGCCTTGCAATCAATCATTCTGGATGCTGAAAGGTTCAATCAATTAGACATAATGGCTTCATTTATGTTCAGCCTTAAGTGCCATTTATCATGCTTGCAGGCAGTCGTCCTTGTCCAAAAAAACCCTGTTGAAATCTGAAGGCCATGCTTTATTTGGCCAAACGCTGGGAGCGGTGACACACAGTTTGACTTTGAACTGGGGGAGCACGGTTATTGAATGTGTCTTAAATGCCAACCATCAAACGTCTATGGGTGGTCCCGCTTGAGATGAAATATGTGGCTATGTGTTGTTACCCTGAAGTTCACTGGTAGGTCCCAGAGGCTTTGACTGCGACTGGTTTCCTTCATCAAAGCTATGAAGGAAACAATTTTTACTGTCAGTCTGTTAGAATGAAACATCTCCAGTTATATTATACAGTCATATTTGTTTGTCTAGTTCCAATTAAGACATATCTATAAAGCTCTGAGGGCAGTTTTACTCAAAGAAATAAAAGGATGTTGCTCCTCCAGGAGACAGGGCACCCCTTCATGCGCAGATCAGATCAAGATGTTGCCTTGGAAAGAGGCCCTCACCTGCTTCACATTACCATGCTGGGGAATCCTCTTAGCTTTTACCATTCCTGCACTCCTGCAGGACAGGAAGACAAGAGAGGGAGAGATTATTAAAATGTGGCATAAGGCAAAGAGTTAGCTCTGATTCTAATACCAGACATCTTTGCCATGTTGAGCCTGGCAGCACTGGCTGGTTGTGTGACTCCCACTCTGCTGAGTATTTGTTTACTGTGGTGTGTAATGCTGAAAACAACAGAGACGGAAAATGAATTAACAATATTGTTGATAATCAAAGGCCCATTTCCTCATTGAATTTCGTAGGTTGATTATTTGATTAATTGAAAAACAACCAGTAGCTTAATTGAAAATCAGAATAATCAGTCAATAATAAAAACAAAAATTAGCTGAAGTCTCTGGTGAAGTCAAGTGTGCATCCAGTTTCATAAAGAGGACTTTGTCACCTATTAAGTGTATACACTGCAGCTTGATGAGTGCAGAGGCTGCGTATTAAATATTATGCTAGTGTCGCTGATGACTTCATTTTGGGCTCATCTAACTAGGTAATTGTTTTAATATACTGCAGGTGTGCAACAACAACAAGAACTGTCACTGCGAGGCTCACTGGGCGCCTCCATTCTGTGACAAAACAGGATTTGGAGGAAGCGTGGACAGTGGCCCCATCAGATTAGCAGGTAAGTCAACAGCTGCAACTCAAGTATATCTAATGGCTGATTTATTGTAGGAGTCATAGGGGTCATGTAATGTCATAGGTCTTGGGCACTTCAGCAATAATATATCACTGACTGAAGCTCAAGCGGCAGAGTAAATCTTAAAAGTCATAAAACATTTGTTTCCCCCGCTTAAGACTGTATTTATTTTTTTTTTCTAAACAGACAACGGGAGTCTGACTGTGGGCATCCTGGTGGCTCTCCTCACTGTGCTGGGAGCTGGTCTGATCATCTGCATCAAGAGAAAAACCCTGCTGGGCCTGTTCCTCACCAGTAAAAAGAACCCAATCGAGAAGCTCCGGTGAGTTTTCAGAACATGACAATTAAATTGTTTTTAAATGTAAAAGTCTTTTTTTTTTTCTTTTTTTTTTTTGTAACATAGTAGTGACTGCTTTTACAACTTGTCACACTGCGAAGTCAATTACTGTGTCCAATTTGTTTTTGTTTTATAATTTGAAATATATGACGTTTGTAACTGATGTTTGATTAATATGATCAAGTGTATAATTAGCGATATATAATTTCTTCTTTTGTATTCCAGATCAGTAAGCGCTGCAATCAGCGGTCCGTCCCCTACTAACCAGCCTCCATCAGCGAGCATGGCGACGTCTCCATCAGGACCGGCCCCGCCTCTGCCGCGCAGCGCCGCCATCTTCAAGGTCACTAGATCCCACGTCTTTACTTGACAGGCCCATTACAAACACGCAGAGATGGATTGCAAACAGAAAAAGACTTGTGTACAATATGTGAGTCAAACAAACGGAGGATCACCGGCAGATGATCGGAGCTGTAATGCTCTCGCTGGAATGCCGCAGCTGTTTCGATAGCACAAATCATCCTCAGCAGGATTGACGTGTTGTTTTCCCACAAATGGCAGCTCATTCAAATCCAATTAAATCACCCCTCTCTATGTGGACATGTGGAGGAGGTGGCAATAATGGAGTCTGTGGTGAGCAGCGTGTTTGTGACACTTGAATACATTTCTTGTCATTAGCAGCTGCCTGTTAAGAGAGAAATTGTCATATCTGCACGTTTCCCCACATGAGCAAGGTGGATGCGGCCGCTTACACGAGATATAATGTCATCCTGTCACTGATAATAGCAAGACGGAGCGGGGAGTTTTTTTTGCTGTAATGACCTGTGTGCCTACATCACTGCATGCCTTAAGTACTCCAATACCGCCCTGACATGCTTTGTAATGGGAAGTGACCCGTGATCGATTGAGTTTAGGGGGCTGCTGAAATAAGAGGAGCTGTGTCTGAATTGACATTTGTGCTGCAGGGGTGGCACAAGAGCGAGGCGAGCTGTTGCGCATTAACATGAGATTGGTGTTTCCAGTTAGTGGCATGTGGTTTTCATTCGGGGGTCAACGGTAAGAAGAGAAAGGATGTAAAGGCTGTTTGATGTAAGCGCAGTGCAGGTGAGGTCATTTTCCAGTTGTCGGGAGCCTGTGTTAAACCGCCGCAAGACTGCATGTGTGCATGGCTTTTTATGTGTTACATTGTGTGCACATCTGGCCGGGTCTAAATACCAGGCAGACTCATATTTTGGCTCAATTCTGTGTCTGATCTGTCTCAGTGGGAGTGTGTGTGGGCTCTTTAGCTCTGTGCACCTTTGTATGAGGCCAAGCTGCTGCTTATGGCGCAGTTTTGGTCTTTTCCTTTTGAAAGGTTACATTGAGCGGACCTGCGGTTGTAATAGTGAGCCGGCAAGTGGGAGTGTTTGATTTATACATCTCGGCAAGATCAGCAGAGGAAGAGGAGGAGGTTAACATGACTGTGTCTGATAGGAAGCAGACAGTTTCTCCTCTGACTGACTCTTCTGGTTCTGTCTTTCATCTTTCTGCAGCCTCCTCATCGGGGGCCGGAGGCGGTGCTCCCACCAGCACCCTACCCCTCCCACAGCCTGCGCAGGCTGCCCCAGTGCCCTCCGGTTCACCTCAGCCACCCTGTCCCCTTGTCTCTCACCGTGTCTCTGTCCCCTGGCCCTGGGCAGCTGAGACCTCTGGTGCCTCCACCTCACCGAGCCCCTCCACCTCATATCCACGTCGCAGCCAGGGGGGCATCGTTTCGCAGTGCGTCACGCCATAACTCCTGCAGGATGGTCATGGTGAGTGCGTTCCCCCGTTCCCGCTCTTGGAAACATTTTATTTGATGGTGTTACTCTGTGAAATTTCTCCGCTGGGTCTGGGGAGCTTTTACTCACTACTACAGCCTATAATACCTAACCAGGGAAATGATGTTGTTCACTGCACCTTCAGATGGGTGTTGTGATGTCGACTGTTTTCACGGTTCTTTTGTGTCCTATAAAAGTATATGCATGCTGACAGTTATGCACAGTCTCATAAAATAAGGAGGTTAACCCGGGAGCTAGCGCCATCCAAGCGAGACTTCAATTCTACAATACAAACCACCACATAAATAATGAAAATGGAGCCAGACTTGCAGAAGGGTGGGGAGATGGAGAAGATGAAACGGCAACTTTAGTGAGCAAGTATGTCCAAATATCGCAGGGTGGTAAACTTACTGCCACTGGTATTCCATGGAGTTTAGTTATGGCATTGCAGGCTGTCAGAGTTGAGGGGAAGAGAAAGCCAGAGGTTCCTGGTGTTAAATCCCTCTCACTCAGTGATTCTCAAAGACTCTTATTTGCCTTTAATCCGGTTTGACTTATACCCAGTGGGCAAGAGAGACAGAGAGAGGCAAAGAGAGAGAAGAGCGAAGAGACAGAAAGACGAGGTGATAAAAGGGACAAAGGGAGGCTTGAGATAATGAGCGAAAGAGTTGATTAATCAGAAAACGAATGACAATATAATAAAACGTGTGTGTAATGATATAAAATCTGTCTTCGTATGAGAAGTTATAATTGTCTACAAATACTGTATGTTAAGTAAAATGACCTTATATTTGCTTACAATTACATTCTAGTGTGTTTTAACCATTTGTTAAATATTTATAATATGATTGAATCGTTATCTGCAGTTCCTGGGAAGCTTGGTATTAAATGTTTTATGATTTAAAAAAAACAATTGTCTTTTTACAATAGTGTGCAAGGGAATATCCAGTATTTATGCAATTTTAAAGGTCCCATTTTGTATAAAGTGAGATTTCCATGTATTTTTTTTTGTATGTAAAGCAGGTCTAGGTTCTATGTTAATACTGTGTAGTATCAAAGTGCGCTATCCACGGACAAAATACACACAACCCGTATTCAAAAACTGTGACTTCAAACGAGCCGTCGGGACTTCTGGAACTTTTTGATGTCAGAACGAAACAGTCACCGCTCTCAGCTACCCCGCCCCCCAGCACGGCCCGCCTGGACCCACCGTCCAATCTTGCAGGGTTTGGTTTCTCTGAGTGTTTACCTGAAAATCTGCTATATGGTTATTCAATCACACAGAAAATAGTCTGAACTGTTGTTGCTAGAGCTCCAAGGAGACGCCTGAGAGAAGAGATGTAAAACTACACTGAGATGGTTTTTGGTACAAAAACAGAACTTAAAATAAAACACGAGGAAGGTGTAAACTATGGGAAGTTTTCAAGGTGTAAACAAACAAACAAACAAAAATGCAGACAACAACATTAAAGAACATAAAGCTAAATTCAGCATGAATAAAAAAAAAAAAAAAACGCCCTCTTAAAAGTATACTATGTGCTTTGCTTGAGAACATACAGTATAGCTTCCAGAGCCATTTAAACAAGCACCACTCAGTTTCACAAAGGTTCTTGGCTTTCATGCACCTGTACAACAGGTGAGGTGCAGCAGCTCTTGGCAGTTGTTTTGACTTCAATAAGTAGACTTTCCCTCTCAGCTGCTCCTATTTAATGTCAAAGTGTGAAACTGAAAAGGGATTCCTGTTGGCAGCAGACTTCACCGGCAGTATCTTTAGCAGCTGTTTGGCAGCTCTGAGACGTTGACAAAGCCCCCCACACACACACACACACACACACACACACACACACACACACACAGTGAAAGAAAGCTCTCTGCTGGGGGCATGGGAAGTATTTTCCACTTGGATCACTTCACCTGAGGGAGCCAGCAGGTTTTCAGACAGACTTGGATTTGTGAGATATGGGTTCAGTTATTCTAAGTTGAAACTGCAGCAGAATTTTGTGCTTATTAATCACCTTATCAGACGGCCTCTGTTCATTTGCCGGCATTTCACTTCTCTGCCATTTGGTATTGTTCTGCTATTTTTGGATGGAGCTCAAGCCGGCCCCATTGCATGACAGAGTTGGCTGTCAGTGTGATGAATTCATACCAGTACTTCAATACTGCAGCTTGTCGTGATACTTGACCTCATGGATATAAAGGGGAGACATCCTGTATCCTGTATTAAAGACTTCACTGACAGCATAGAGCATTAAGGTTTTCATTGAAAACATCTAATAAGGTCATCAAATTTGCTTTTGACATTGGAGTGATGTTTTGAATCGGTTGACCCAATTCTAAGAGTGAGTGAGGTCCGAGGTTCAACTGTGTGTCTCCTTCTTCTCTGTGACGTCTGAGGAGGCTCCTCTTGAACCAAGACGAAGAGGAGGAAGTGAATGGAGACCAGATGGGAGCAAGGTAGTGGGTCTTTATCATGGCCTCAGTCTTCTAGAGAAAGATTAAAACCACATGACTGCTCCTCTCATCGCAAGCTGCATGGGCAGTGCTGCCCTCGCGCATGGGAGACGAGGACCAGAAGGCCAGCAGGCCTGAGCTGTAGTTCTCTGACTGTGAGTGCCACCTGCTGGAGATTCTCAGTCATTTCTCGTATGCGTTTGTCCTTTTGTCAGGAGTTGGAGAAGCCCAGTCCTCCGCAGAAGCCCCTTCCCGCTGATCCAAGGAGCTCCCGCCTGGTTAGAAGTCCTTCTGTCGCGCAGGGCCACGCTGTAGTCCAAGGGCCTTCTGCTGTTCGTGGCCCCGCACCAGTACCTGGTGTACCCAGACCTATGCGCCCTGTCCCACACCCCAACAGGTGAGTTCCGACCTGTTCCAAACCGCACTCAAGCTTGTATCATAATTATTTTATTTTACATATTTGTATCACTTTTCTCCCTCTCTTAGACCCAGTCCCAAGCATCCTCCAACACTACCAAAGCCTTGCATAATTGCCAACATCAAATACAGCAGCTGAGACTTTGGCCAAAAGGGACATTGTTGTGATAAGACACTAAAGAAATTGCACTATGAAAGCTCTGAAAACCTTAAAAAAAGATTGTGGCTTCTCTGAGTTTTGAATCAGGAGATCTGCCGTGTCCCTTTGGTGCTCTGTCTCTGAATGGTGCTACGAGTCTGAGCTCAGGTACATGTAAAGTATTTATATTGTGTATTTATTGCCACGCAGTGCACTGTGCCAGACACTTTTACTACATGGTAGCAACTTAAAACTTTTTAATTTGTTGTTTGCATCAATTTCACATTTTTTTTTTTTTCCATATCAACTGATCTTTATTAAGGTGATAGGAGACTTTAAAAAAAAAAAAAAAAAAAAAAAAGCCAATCTGTGAAATTGTGATTGCAGAAATGTTTTTGTGAAACGTGTTTTAATGAAGGGAACCCTTTACATAATAGTTTTGTTCTGTATACAGCAGGAAGAGTTATTGTGCAATGACAGATGAGAACAGAAACAACTTCAGACAACACTTCTAGTTCATTTGCAACTCTGTGGGTTTTTTTTTTTTTTTTTTTTTTCCTGGAGGGTAAATGCTCTCCGTAGCAGCTTAGAGCCAGACTGAAAAGGCTTGAAACAACCACTGAAAAAGAATGGTATTACCACAGCAGTTCTGCAATGTGACTGTCAACATGATTAAATAACCGAAACACCGTGTGGGAATTTGAGGGGCTGAAAAATGCAGCTGAAACGCAGGCCTGTTTCTTCTTCATTTATATTACAGAAAGGTAACAAGTTGGATTGTGAAATGTCACTGATTTGCCATTTTCCGTTGCATTAACGAGACCCAAGAAGCTCACTCGAGGGATCTGGGTACTGAGGTATGAACTGAACATGGATCTAAAAATGAGCCAAGATCAAGGAAGCGTTCATCCCGCTGAGAGACTAAACTTCTCTGAAGTACCCCTCAGCTAAAGGTCATGTGTGTTGAATATTTCCCTCTGTGTCTGTCTGCACCGAGGATTAAATCCTGGACTGTCTCGAAGCTGTGGCCGCACAGGCGTCACGGAGGCACTCACTTGTAAACAGCCGGTGTCTGGCTACAGTGTTCATGTGTGCATTTTGAATCGTGCTTCTCTTTGATGGGAAAGGACAGACTCACTCGGCAAGGACACATTTCTAGATCTTTCTGCGGCTGAAATGAACTGTAGTGGTTCCTCTGTGAACACTGAACCCGCCGATCGTCCGAAATCATCCAGTGCAGTTATTCATTTTCTATTTTTTGTACCTTTTTACTTTGGCTATTGAGATTAGTTTTTTAAAGCCAATCTACATACTAGATACAAACTCCTGCATAAATCAGACGTGGTAATGGAACAGTTTTATTATTCGTACACATTTCTTGTTTTACTGGATTGCAATGCAGCATATATACAGTACATTCACACTGAGCAACGTTTCCTTTAAGCACAGCTCTTCACAAATATGTAGGCGGAAAACTGACATGGACTGAACTTTTGTTACTTTTGATACTGTTGTATTTTTAATAATGCACTAGTTTTACATTCATTGCTTTGTTTACTTAGCTTTTTTTTTCAATGCTATATGTGTCCATGTACTAATAGACAGTCTTTGAGTGCAGTCGCGTGACTATACGTTATTGTCCATATGTTCCTTGTATGTTGTTTTACAGGTGAACACATTTTCATGCAGAATGCTTTTTTTTTTTTTTTTTTAATGACGACTCTTTGATACATCATATGTAAAGAAAACACACCAAGTGTCAGTGTCTGGTCATGGTATTTTGAACACTCGAGCAGTATTAGTAAAAACTGTTTTTCCAATTGATTTCTGTGCCCGTTTCTCTTTTTCACACAGCACGCACGTTTTCAGCAAGAGGTGCCATAAAATGAATAGATCAATTAAATGAAAGAAAGGGCTATTTCTGCACACACACAAACAATGGCAGCTTCCATCCAGCAGTCCTACTTTGTAAGAATACAAAGGCAGATTTAATGCTTATCCATTTTCAAAACCACAATTGCTTTGAATCAACAATAAATGGCCTTTCTGTTTTTTATGCTTGAGCCCAAAAACAGACAAAAAAGACTGAATAGTGAACACTGTAAATTCAACATTTTACAAGAGTCTTTGTTTTCATACAGCAGTTTATTTTCAGAGGTTGAAGGTTTCAAAGTGGTTTAACCATTTAACACAGACAGCTGGAGCAGCTTAGCTTATTTCAACACTCTGAGCTTTTGTCTAAAAGTAATTTGCCACGGTCTTTGTAAGGGATTAAAAAAATAAAAAATAAAAAAAAAACACTGCTTCAATCAATACAGGTGTAGGATTGTGTGTTCTCAGGATGTTCGACAAAAGTAGTACAAGGGGAAAAAAAGTCTTTCTAATTCTAATGAGAAATCAAAGCAGGTTCACACAATACCAAGGACACATGCTGTCACTGATGAGAAGCTCCTGAAACCAGCCTCAGCCAACATTGCCTCAACTACAGACCAGGTTTTATTTGTCAAGAAATACAAAGGCCTAAATTTTGTGTCAAAGGCTGAATATTTGAACTATTCCTCGGTGTGATTGAAATCAATTACATATATTTGTCCATGGTTACTAACAGACGAGCAGGGAGCGGAGACGTTTAGGCTACTCTGACTGTCAAGAGTCTGATCTTTAGAAAGGTTAAGATACATTTATTTAGGGTGACATAGTGGTGAACTGGACCGAATAATGGCCAAACAGCCCCCCCTTGTGGAGAATCTGCAGCCTGCTAAAAGTAAATGGGTGAATGAGTTAGAACAAGTTCATCAACAAGCTCATTTCCAACACTCGAAAAAAAAAAAACATACCATCTCATGCTGTCTCATAATTGTGACTTAGGGTCCTTTAACTACCACATCTATTTTATAAAGTGGCACAAATTAGCTTCCATATACAGCACACTGCATTCTGATGGCTACTACTGAGATTATACTGCACTCACTGAAGAAAGGCTGTTTTTTTCGTTTTCAACATTACAGGAAAGAAAATTTCTGAGGATATATATTCGCACTGGTGGGACCATCCATCCGCAGCTTGAGCGTCCTCACTGCTTCACACGTGATCATCTGGATAATAACATTCAGGCGATTATGACAGGCTCACGGACACTGGGCTCAGTGGTGAATGTGAAGCCCTAAGCAAATCAAAACACGTGTGAAGCCACGCTGGGGAGAGAAATTACGCACCGGTGCGCACCGCGCGTCAGCCAGCTTCAAACTGCACAACTCCAAACTTTGAACCGCTTCATACATAGTATAGTTTTAGCAAAAACGAAGAGGCAGAAGCAGAGAGACATTGTGGTTAATCGTTTTCTTTTAAATAGCCTGTACCCGGTTTCATCTGAATGGACCAGTAGCTCTGAGTGGTGTGGAGAAGAAAAAAAAAAGAAAAGAAAAAAAAAACATTCGTGCACTTTCGTCCTGATTCGCAAATTTAAATGTGTCATGTCGGGGGAAAATAATCCAGCGGAGCCAGACGTTAACCTTGAAAGTGAAGACTGTCCCGGGGAAGATGTACCCGGCTTTGGAGATGATCTGGAGTTAAATCAGTTCGATGGATTGCCCTTTTCCTCGCGTTACTACAAATTACTAAAAGAGAGGAAGACTCTGCCTGTGTGGGAGGTCAGGCAAGAGTTTGAGGATGCTCTGGTAAACAACCAGCTGGTTATTGTGTGCGGGACCGCAAAGACTGGGAGGAGTACACAGGTAAGACTGCGTGATCAATAATGCTAATATGCTGTCAGGAAAGAAGAGTAGGATGGAGAAGTGTCTTTCAGAAAGATTTTATTAAAGAAAAATCAGACGTAAAGAATATTACATGTCCCTTCACTTCTCCATATATCTGTATATATGTATATTTAGACTTCCTTTAGAACTGGACCCACATACCAAAGCATAACCCAGTTGGTATGACTTGCATGTAGGCTGTTGTCACATGCTCAGTCCAGCCTTGATTTGATCTATTTGAGGTTGATCCTTTCAGTTGTGTTTTTCTGTCCAGCAAAAACTTTTCTTAGAGATAGCTTTGATACTTGTGACTTTAAAAAAAAACAAACAAAAAAAAACTTTGACTGAAGGAGTACCATGATGTGAGTCTGTGTGAACAGGCTGCCCAGCTCAGCAGATGCTGTTGTGTCACTGTGTTGCTGTCCAAGCTCCAGCCTTGCCTGCCTGACTGTCAGCCAGCACAAAGGCTCCAGCAGGGGTGTTAGGGGACCTCCTGCTGCTAAGCCCTGATCCGCTGGAGCCGCCACATGCTGCCAAAGCAATTTTGCATTATGAGCGATAATACCATAGGATATCTCCTGTCAGTGTTTGTTTTGCTGTGTGCCTAAACAAAAGCTGTTGCTACAATCCTGAAAGGATGCCCGCCGCTGGAAACCCAAGTTGATGTGAATAAAAAGATGTTGTTTTGTGGAGAATTAGTTCTCCGGAGCACTGGCAAGACACACAGTGAGGTGCGGGAAAGTGAACAACATTTCGGTGTTTATCCTCCTCCAGATCCCTCAGTGGTGCGCGGAGTTCTGCCTGTCGGCCCAGTACCAGCACGGCATGGTGGTGTGCACGCAGACCAACAGGCAGCAGGCTGTAGATCTGGCCTTGCGTGTGGCTGATGAAATGGACGTCAACATAGGCCATGAAGTGGGTTACACCATCCCTCTGGAGACCTGCTGCTCCTCCGACACTGTTCTGAGGTTTGTTGATGAGCTCTGTCTGTCTGTTGCACAGCCAGCAGCAGCAGCAGCAGCATCACGCTTGAATGACACTTTAATATCATCCACAAACCATCTCTGTCACTCTTAATTTTTTTTTCCTTGCCTGTGCTTTTGTTACTCAGATATTGCACTGATGATATGCTGCTGAGAGAGATGATGTCAGACCCTTTTCTGGAGCACTATGGGGCCATTATTATCGACCAGGCCCATGAGAGAACAGTTAGCACAGACATACTACTAGGTCTCCTCAAGGACATCCTGCTGCAGAGGCCTGACCTCAGGGTGGTGGTCCTCGCCGTCCCGCCCATGACCGACAAGCTGCTGAGCCACTACGGCAGCGTCCCTCTCATCAGTCTGGAGGCCTCGTGTCCTGCTGAAGTCGTCCACAGCAGCAGCGGCAACAAAGACTACTTCTACTCGGCACTGAGACTGGTGCTGGAGATCCATCGAACCAAAGAGGACGGAGATGCTGTTGTGTTTTTTGCCTCAG